GGAAGGGGGTCTAAACACCTGGTCTTGAAGTGGTTAAAGAGGAGCTGCTGAAAGGCAGGGAAAAGATCCCCTGGTCATGGTGGGAAGGTTGGCAAATTCAACAATATAAGACAAGGTGCATCCGGAAACTCTAGCTTTTAGCCCTTGGAGATGTTCTGACATGATGTTCTGGATCCACGTGACTGAGATGTCCTGGATCTAGAAGGCTGTGAAAGTTGACAGACGTCCCCCCATATTATCTATATAGAAGTGATACTGGGTATCCAAATGATGTAATCATCTGGCCAAGAAGACCATGGGTATAGGTGGAAAGGACAAGGGGTTTAGGAAACTGCAAGACACTTGTGATCTGAAAAGGAGATCTGGTGAAGTAACCCTAACCCTAACCTTTACATACAGTATTGGAGGCAGGATGTCATAGGTAACTGGGTTAAGGACAGTTTCATAAAAGTGATTTGGGCAACATCTAGACTAAAGATGTTCATACAAGGAGCTACTGTAGATATATTTTGCTTCACTATATCTGTTACTTTATACAACACCACAGTAGATGATGGCACTATATAGATCAATTAAATAAAAATATACTGTCTGCATAGTATATATGTTCATGTGCACTTTCAGGGGTTTGTTCAAATACACTAGACATAACAGAAGCTGGAGTATGATGCTACTTTCATGGAAGTGTGAAAGAACCCCACTCATAATGGGAGCCAGTAGATGCTGCTACAAGCTCAAGAATAATGCACTCCTTTAGTCATGGGTTAATAGTCAATATAGGTTGCAGCTTGAGTAATACAAGACAAAACATTAGTGTGGAAAATAGACATTAGCAATTCAGAATGCCTAGAACAGTACAGAAAGACTAAAGGTGAAGAAACCAGCTTTAGGCCAATACAGATTGTGATAAAAATAAGTCTTTTTAGTTTTCTATAAAACAGGTAGTGGTAAAAAATTTGTTCTGTCAGGTAAACAAATATCTGGGAGAATCTTGTTGAGAATACACAAACATTGATCGCAAACTGCGATCTTTACTAAAATGTATTGTCTTGGATGAAATCTTCTGGACAATGAACATGGAAGACAAATGGGAGTGCTTTAAGGCCATATTAAACAACAATATTTGAGAGTGCATTCCAAATTTTAAGTAATACATTTAAAAGGTCAAAAGCTAAACCAGGTTGGTTAAATTCTAGAGTTAAAGGGGACGGGTCACATATGGCATTCAAGCGCTATAATTAATGTAACAAGAAATGCAAAATTGCAATTAGAGCAGCAAATATATGCTATGAAAAGTAAAACTAACCCTAAGAAATTCTATAAATACATAAAAGTAAAGACAGAGCACATAGGCACCATAAAAGATAAGCAGGGAAGGCAGGTTACAAGTAACAGGAAGACGGCAGCGGTATTAAACACCTTCTTATTTTCTGTCTTTACAGATGAAAGAGAAGAATATAATAAATAAAACAAAAAAAATACAAATAATGGACTAGCTAAACCCCTGTGGCTAACAGAAGTTGAGGTGCAGAAGAGGTTAGAAAAGCTCAACGGTAAAAAATATCTGGGGCCAGATGGTTTACGTCCTGAAAGAACTGAGTCATGTTATTGCCAGACCATTATTCCTAATCTTTATGGACACTTTAAGGATGGGAGAGGTACAAGATGATGTATACCAGGAAACTACAGGTGAGTCAGCCTTACATCAATAATATAAGTTTCTGAGGGAATGGTCAGGCACTATATAAAAAACTGTATGTGTAACGGTATAATAAGTAATGCTCAACATGGATTTATTAATGGACCATTCTTGCCAGACAAGCCTATTAACATTGTATGAGGAAGAGAGTTGTAAGGTGGACAGAGGAATCACAGTATCTAGTTGAAAGACTGCATCCAGAGGGTAGGCATAAATGGTTCCTTCTCAAATCGGACCAAGGTAATAAGTGTCAAGCTGCAGGGTTCAGTCCTGGGGCCAATTCTGTTTACCCTATTCAGAAATAATGTAGATGTGGAAATAAATAGCTCACCGTCAGTGTTTGCTGATGATACAAAATGATGTAAGTTTGCTCCCCCAGGGAGTGCTTTTAACATTGGACTTTCCTTCAACTTTTTTGTGTCTTTATTTAACCTTACCTACTATGTAACTATGAATACATGAAACTAAAAAGATAAAAAGACACAACAGACTAAAGAAAGTAAAACGCTCAGCCTGACTTTCTTTAACCACTTGCCGTCCGCCCGTTGTAAAAAAACGGACGGACGGCACTGCAGCATTGGTGGGTTGCCGTCTCCAGACGGCATTTTTTTTCTGCTCGCGCTATCTCTGGTTTAGTACCTAGCGGGCACGCATTAATAAAAAAAATAAAAGTAACATATAAAAAAGTAAAATAAAATAAAAGTCACATATAAAAAAAAGTGAAAACCCCCCATAGAGTCCTATGTATAACCCTGCTCCATGCTGCATGAACGGGAACACATATAGTGGGGGCTTCTCCATCCTCCGTTTTCAGCAATCTTTCATAGCCTCTCTTACAACTCCATGCTCCATTTTGCACCCCGTGTTTGCAATTTGTTTTAGCAATAGAAACAATTCCAAACATGGTCAGTGATTTGCATCCTGAACTCATATACACTTTCTGTTCATTTTATATTGAATAGATTCCCTCTGATAGGCATGATCCCCTTTAACCCTATTTTGAGGAAAGCACTTCAGCTCAATAAGACTACAGGTGTTTCTCAAAATGGTTATAGGAGCCCGCCTCATACAGGAATTACATAATTGGCCGCATTGTCCCATAATAGCTACATTAAATAAACTGAACTCCGACCTTACCTTTAGTCTTTCACAGTTGTACAGACTCCTCCCTTGTACTGAAATTGCTTACTCTGATTTCATTGCACACTGGGCTTTTTACAGTGTGCATTAGAAGCTGCATCAAGTCAGATAAAGCCGGTCTCATTTCCTCGCTGGAGGATGTAAAGCATAATCTTTAATTGGATTTAAATTCTTTCAGACATGGAGGCTTAGCATCACATTTGTGCGTTAGCTAAGGCAGTTTGCCTAGGATTGCCCCCTCCAGACTGATATGCACCCATCAAAGCATTTTAATACATACATACATACACAACTTCTCCCAAGAGAACCAGCCCCCTGCTTGCATCGGGGCTGAGGGGTCTAGAAAGGAGGACTGAGTCAGGGTGCTGCGATATTTTGATGAAGTCATGTAGAGCATGCTGCTGGCCCCTTCCACCAACCATGATCTGCCTGCAAAGAGACCCAGGGATAAAAATCATAGGGTGTAAAATAAAGTATGCAATAAAACCAGAAAAGTTTAATTAAGTTCATAAGCATGTTGATGAGATGAAGGCGATCTGGGAAATCAAAATATAAACAAATTGAACTCCATCTTTTAGATTAGCAGAATGTGGAACAGCCAGCTGAGCTTAAACCTGTTTACAGCCACTGGGAGAAGTACTCAGAGGGGATTCCAAAGAGGAGAAGTATCCAGGATCCACAAAAGGCAAAAGCCAGCCTGAAGGTAGTCCTCAGTTTTCATTTCCTTGCATCCCCGACTCTTGTCGCAAAGTGAATTCCATTGCCTCAACTTCATAAATCCGCCAGCCATACAGGGCTTACTTCCAAAATCTTGCTACCTTTTGCTGAAGACGTAGAAAGCCTTACACATGGGACAAGAGTAAGAGAGGCATTAGTACCATTGTATGGTCACAAAGCCAGTGATGCACATGTCCGATGGGTTTTCAAAAGTAGGGGAGCAATTGAACTTGTCCAGTGATAACTAAGGTCGATGCTCTAGGCATTTTCACTCATGCATATATTATTAATTCTACAAAATAACCATGTATTAATATGCATATGAAAAGAAACAAGCCAACAAAGTGAGATACCTTTAATCTTTTCCCTACCTCATGCTGACACTAATTTAGTAATATTATACATTATTCTCCAGAATTCTTACAATCAAAGTTTTGGACAAGGAAACAAAAAAAATAACAAAATATTGATGTAAAATGTTTAGATTTAATTCCTAAATTAATAAAGTTAAACAGTTTTCCATGAAAAAATGCAAAGAAATGATAATAGGAAATTAGTTAAGACTTTAACTTGATAACATGATGTAAAAACCAAATGGAAAGGACGTTTGTTAACAGAATTCATCTAAAAATGGTAGAAAGAAACACTGGTTTTGTGCATTCCCCATGAAATGTATAGTGCATAGTAATTCCATTGGAGAACTCCTAAAGACAAGTAGAAATATGTTTCGGTATCAGCATTCAAAAGACGCATTTTACATTGGTAAATACATAGAAAAAGATGAAGTATATGCTTACGTACTCCGGGGGTGACCTAGTTTACACAGGATGTGTATTCCACATGAAAAGTATAGATAGGTTACATGTTTGTCAAAAAGAAACAACAAAACAAATCTAGTAGGTAGCAACTGTGACGTTGATGTGTCTTCCAGAAGTCACATTCAGCTTTTCAGTCCAATGTATGAAGAAACTGATTTATACATCGTATTCTAAAGATAGTACATGTATCCATTATTTTAAAAGAGAAAAAACAAACAAAGACAAGTGCTTTTGTGGTGTATATCTGTCTCCTACATCTTTAAAGGAGGTTGGCCTTTTATTATTATATGGCAATATCAGTCGATCCTTCGGTGTGAATCTTAATAGCATGTCATCTAAATGTCAGCTTTTTAAAAATATATATTGTTTCTAAGATCGTCTGTCAGTCAATGAAAGTACAATCAAAATTTTCAATGATAAAAAGAATAAACTCATTATTCTTTTTTTTTGTAAGAGACATTGTGAATTTGTGGCTTTAATGCTTAAATACAGATGTCAACTGGTATAAACACCGATTTATGCTCAAGATGTATTTCATGTCATTATGTACAGCGGTGTTTCCTTACTTTTCCTTGTAGCAGTGTTTCCTTACTTGAGGACCACTAACTAGTCACTTTTCCAGACTCCCAGACTACTGGACTGGTGCACTGGTGTCTTAATTAACGGTACTGTTACCGAGATGCCCTAATTATGTCACCCGCTCTTCTGTTAAGAGATCTGGAAAACATGAACCGTTAGTTGTACGAGGACTGGTTTGGAAAACAATGACTTACAGGAATATGTACCAAAAGCAAACCAAAAGAGGGAAAAAAACGGCATCTAGATTTTAGGGAGGGCACTTTTGTAAATACTTGTAGAATGAAATGAACATTGGTTAAAATTTCATGGATCCTGCTTTAAAAAAATGGAAAACTCTAAATATTGGGAATTGGCACAGAGTTAATATTTACAGCAAACAGAGGTTTTGCAGTTTACATAACATCAATACAATCCATCATCAAAGTCTTTGCTTGAGAATTTGTTTTCCTTTGTCCCTTGTTTTATTGTTTTTCAAAGTGGACATTCAGATTATTATAATAAGTGGCCATGAAAGAGGATCCTTGAAGTCCAGAGCTTCACACTTGTGTGCAACCCCACACTGGAAGATACAGCTCCTTGAAGAAGGCAGTCATTTTACTGGAAGCAATTTCTAGGGCTTGAACCTGGCAATGGCTTGGTGCAGGCGTAACTTTACAGGTTATCTCCGGGCTGATACTGGGGTTCAGTGGCAGTGAAGTAGTCTTCCAGGAAACCTTGCAGGTACTCAAAAGTGGGGCGCTCCTCTGGGTCTTTTTTCCAGCAGTTAAGCATTAACTCATGCAGGGAATTTGGACAGTCTTGGGGACATGGCATTCTGTAGCCACGCTCTACTTGTTCCAACACCTCACGGTTATTCATACCTGAAATCAAAGAAGCAGACATTAAAATCTTTACAACACAATTCCTCAACCTGTACCTTTTCTTTTCGTTACACATAATTTTTTTAAGTCTTAATAAATGATTAAAGTAAAACTAAATGATCACAAGAATACGTACAGGGTTAGTCACTAAAGGGTGAAGAGTTTGCAGAAGGCAGGAGAAGTGAACAATCTAGGACAACATAGGTGATTTAGAAGAATTCTCCAATTCAGTTCACTCTACAGTTCAGCTATGTTGTCATACATTGTTCACTTCTCCTGCCTTCTACAAACTCTTCACCCTTTTTTCAGGTTATATATATATTTTTAACATTCTTCCCTTACGTTGTCCTTGTGCTCTTTCCCTACACTTTGCACATCCTGTAGACTCTTTGCACAAGTTTCCTGTGGATGTGTGTGAGCGGCAGCAATGGCTGAACATCACACTTTTACACGGGTGATCTTGGTAGAATGTGCGTGCTAGTGCACTGTGTGTTGGCATGGCTTGTTTTAGTCCAAATCAGGAGTGCACAGAAAAGGGTGACAATGCTGTAGCTGAACTGAATAAACGTCACTCTAGTACAAAAAAATCTCTGTGGCTACACCACGCTGGTATGATTTTAAAGCAGGACATATTAATAAAGGATTAATCTTTTTGACATTACAGGGCCATGCCCAACAACATAGTTGATCTAAGTGGCTTTAGATACACTTTAAGCCTATACAAAACAACTTGGGAGTAGACATGGTTTAAAGAAGAATTCCAGGCAAACACGAAACTTACCTTTGAAGTAGGGCTACTCCCGCATTGCAAGGGTTAAGTGCTCTATTTGTCTACGGGACTCAAATAAAGCTGTTTTTTAAAATCTGATCCTTGGTCCTGTCAGCTCTAGACCAGTCCCCATGGCCTCTTCTCCACTTTACCCTCGTGGTCTAAGGAGCGCTGATGTCTTCACGTCTTATGCAGGTTCAATGACCTGCATTAGATGTGAGGATGTCAAAGGACTTTTCATAGCCGGAGCAGACGGGGAAAGAGGTGAGCACTGATAGCTGCAGGAGCCGGGATCATGTGAGTAAAACATCTTTTTTTGAGTCCCCTAGACAAAACAAACACTTGACCCTTGCAGTGAAGGGGTAACCCCACTGCAAGGGTACGTTTTTTTCTTTGCCTGGCATTCTTCTTTAACTAGAATATTTTTTTCAAAGATTTTAATGCACATTTAAAAAATTGTAAAAAAACTAATCCTTGTAGTGGGGCTTCCCCTGCACTGCAAAGGTTAACTGCTCATTTTGGTCTTGGGGCTGGAATATAGAAAATATACTCACCGGATCCTCAGTCCTGTAGGTGAGACTGCTCACCTCACCCCCTTCCTCCGGTGGTGGAATATCCCTCGCTGTCCTACATGTCTAATGCAGCTGCATTCGATATGATGATGTCACGGGTCCTCAGCCCTGAGAAGAAGAGGCTGCAGGGCCGATCTATCAGCCTGGCATCAGTGAGGATCAGGTAAGTATATTTTCTTTATTCCGGCCCCAGACCAAAAAGATCAGTTAACCACTGCAGAAGGGGGGTAGCCCCAATGCAAAGACTAGTGTTTCAAATTCCTGGAGTTCCTCTTGAAATAGAACTGGCAATAAATGTGCACATTATAAGGAGTACTTTAAGTTAACTAAATACACCAGGTGGTAGTTGGTGAATTTTGCTCCGATAAAACAGTAATCATTTGATAACATGCACTGGGAATTAAAACCACAAAATGTAGGATTTCACAGTGAGAAATACTGCATAAGCCCAGGAAGTCAAATGGTTAAAAATGTTGGTTAATGTGTATTAAAATATTACTGTGGCCTGTCAATCAAAGCTTAGCTTTGGCCAGGAGCTGTTCAAATTTTAGTATGGTAAATATAATTTCACTGGAGGCCAGCAAATTGTAATTCATGGATTTTTCCAGGCTGCCAGTAGTCTGCACAGGAGAGGTACAATGAGCCTGCTGCTGTGTCTCCTCAGAATCCAACAACAGCTTATGCCAGGCTATTTTTACAGCTAAACACACAAAGAAAAAGCCTCTTGCTTGCAGGTTGTCACATTAAATTGTGGTAGTAGGATATAGCATAGAAGGGTTAAAAAGCAAGCAGCACAGGTTGTGGTGGTAGCATGTTATAGTGTTGTGATGCCCAACTACGTATCCACAATTCACAGGTGGCTCCCCCGGTATGCCATTTCACTTGAAGCAAGCCCAGGAGCAAAAGTGCTTCCCTTTTTAATAGCAGTTCCTCCTTTCCTAAAATAATCTGCATGGGCACAGGGAAGAATAAGGTAACCGACTGTGTAACTGTGTGCCAATATTACTATTAATAAAACATTATTACCCCTGCACATATCCTGAAAATTATGGGCAATATCCTTAGCATCCTTAGCAGATGTTAATCCTAATTGAATAACATTTAGTTTGCACTGTGCATCATCAATGACTTAAAAAACAACAACTTGTTTTTACCATCTTTTCATCCTTTCTTGCATCTCTAAGCTGCTTATACCCTGCAGCTTCTTTTCATTTCTACATACCACTCATTTCCACTACAGCAATGACTGCATGGCATCTCTCAGGGCTTGATTGTTGATTGTAACAACAGTGGACCATGCTTTCATAACGTGTGTTAAAACAGCCACCAGCAGTCTCCATCAGAAGCCCATGTTATATAATGACAACGCAAGTGCACAACTGGGAGACAGGGACAGAGTATTGTGACCCTAAGAGGCAGGATTACCAGGTATTATTTTAATGAAAGCTCCAAATTTCTGAATATTGAAAATAACTTTTGAAATTAGCTTTAACATGTTAAAGCTAATATGAGATTTTAGTGGTTGAGTTTACATATGCTCTTATTTTCCTAAGTCTAAGAAGTAGAGAACCGCATGTGCAGCATTGTTGTTTAAATGTGGCAAACTCACCTGGATAAGGGACTCTTCCTTTTGTTACCAGTTCCGTCAGTAGGATGCCAAAAGACCACACATCTGATTTAATAGTGAACCTTCCATACAAAGCTGCCTCTGGAGCTGTCCATTTTATGGGGAACTTTGCACCTGTTGAAAATGTTAATGCAAAATTAACAGAATGTTGTACATACAGCTTATTTGGTACAGAAGTAAATATTATTTTATGGGAAGAATTTAATTTAGCACGTTACATTAATAGGGTTCTTTTATAAAACCAAAGCAGAACAAAATATTTGGCCCCAGCCACCATTCGGAAGTTGGATTCTTATTCTAATAGGATATACACAAAACACAAGTAGCCATAAGGTTTGATAATAACACATAGGAAGCTATCAGGATGTACAGTTGAATTCACCATTCTGTAAGCTAGAATGTCAATTCATCTTGTGGCCTCTTTGCTCAGGACCATAAAATATTAATGATTCTTAAATAATCATTATGCTTAAAGGCAAACAGAAAATTGCTGGGTACAGTACAAAATAATAACCTTACAATGCTCGGCATAGAAACAAACACCATCTGTCACTGGCAGAAGCTGGGGACTGAAGTGTCAGACAGTACAAGATGAATCAATGACCACATACTGCAGTTAGATGCTGAGTTGAATTGAGAAAAACAGCTGGTTGACTTTTTGTTGCTTGTCCCATTATACTGAAAGCCTCTATAAATATTAATACATTTTAAGCTTTTGCTTTGAATCATTTTCTGTAATCTACAGTAAAAATCTTAGGTACCATTTACTAATACAGTAATACCTGTACAGTAATATGTGCCTACTGATCACACAATCTAGATCCCCTTTATATAAGCCTGTGCATGTTTTATACCCCTCAATCTCACTTTAAAGGAAAAAGGACTACTAGATTTATAAATTATGTCTGGAGTCACATAGTTAATTAATAGTAATAGTGCACTCAGAGAACACAGCCGCTGTCAAAGTCACTACAATAGGGGTTAAAACTTTATTTAAAAAAAAAAAGGTTTCTGTGACACAAGGTTCTTCTGTGTTTCTGGGTTCTGATTATGTATGTACTGTACAAGGACAGCCAGGAAGATAGACAGGATTCCCACAATGTACAGGACAGCTCCCAGCTTTACAGCCTGACAAGTAATCAAAGGCACTAAGCCTGACAAGAGGCAGAGCACAGCAGGAGGACAGCTGCATGAGAAGGAGACATACTTCTTTGTGCATTTCAGCACATCTTTATCCTTTCAAATATTCTGATTGCTCCTGACATCGTTCATACCCTTGGTATACTTCAGAGCCTTGGATGCATTTTATTATTGTGCATATGAACTGGTTGATTAACCTCTTTCTGCCTGTACATACATACTCGCATACGGTTCATTAACTTTTTTCCATCTTTATCATCAAACCTGCTTCAGGTCTAGGTATTGATAATATAGTTTTTTGTGTTAGTTTTTCTCTTCCTCCAGCTTTCTATTAGTACAGTATAGTTGGAATGCTTTATGGACATGTAACGCCCTTAGGAGCCATAGTAGGTAGTAAGCAAGGACCGAGCCCACTACATCCTAGCTGGTTCGAAAATCAGTTCAACATGTAACAAAATAATTAGTTATTTACCATCAAATATTTATTTAAGGGTATCTATGTTTGTTATTAGTACACTTGGCCTTTAACCCTACTGCGACCAGTGACGTACATGGAACGACATTGGCATCGGGCCCACGTAAACACATTCCCAGCGGACTCTGTTTACAATTGTAAAGCGGGCTGTTGGCTTTACAGTAGAAGCGATTCTGGCGACTCAGCTGCCGTCAGATCGCTTCTACGGGCCAGTATGTTTCCCGGGCTCCACTGCCCCTCCTGCGGAGCCAGGACCGGCATCTCGGGTGTTTGGTGGGAAGCTGGGGAAAAGAGCGGCAAACCTCCGTTCACGATCTTGTCCCCGCTCTATGGGACCGGGAGAAATGCAGAGTGCCTCACTTCCGGTCCCTCAGCTGTGTAAAGGTGATACTAGGGGTCTTTTGGACCCCCAGTATCACCTTGAAGAGGACCTGTCGCCACCAATAGGCTATCATTGTAAGAAAAAAATAGTTAAAAAATAATGTAGAATAAAATAATGTAAAAATTAGTTTTAAATGTTTAAAATCCCCTGCGAGCGCTTGCACATTCACGCAAACACACGTTGGGTGCGCCTACATACGAAAAAGTTGATCGCGCTACACATGTTGGGTATCATCATGCACGCCAGAGTAAGAGCAATAATTCTAGGGCCACAATTTCCGCGTATCTCTAAACTGATGACCTGTGGGGGCTTTTACATTGTCGTCTATGGACTTTTTGGGGTACTGAATTGTGTTGCCATTTCACAGAAGCACACAATTTTTAACCTGGGCATGTTGGCTATCTATTTACACGTCGTAACCTCATCTTTTATGCTTTACAAAACAAAATACATTTTTCAAACAAAAAAAAGGCCTTGCGAAAGAGTCCTTATGAGGTTAAATGATACTGAAAGTAATTTATAAAATCTAAAAGGGTTACAGCAATGCAAACTGGCATCCTATATGGCTTTGTATCTACTATTGTTATGTACAATTAGGTAAATATCCACTTGCTAATTAGCAGGATAGTTTTTGTACAACAGCATTTCCCAACATTTTTTTCGGTCACGGTTCAGTTTAAAAATATGCAAAATCTCGAGGCACACCAGTGCAAAATTTAAAAATGAAAAACAATGCCACGTAGCCCCTCCAAAATCCATACCAGATCCTTATCTGAGATAGGGGTTTAGTATGGACTTTGAGGGGGGAACCCAACAAAAAATACAAAAAAGTGGGGTTCCCCCTTACATCAGGAGCCACTTTCCCAATAGGGGCCCCCCTTTCACAGCAGAACCCCCCCCCCCATTACATCATAATTCCCCTTTACATTAGGGCCCCCCTCTCACACTAGGAGCCCCCTTCACATCAGAAGCTCCTTGGCACATCAGGAGACACAGTAGCGGCAGCATGGCCGAGGGCGGGAGGTGGAGCAAGCCTGGATGGAGGCAAACGTCTGTCTTTTTCTGAATTAAGCTCCTTGGATTAGCTCCAACAAACACCCCAGGGTGCCACCCTTTTGAGAAAGATTGTTCTAGAACATGAACTGTGTCTGTGCAGAAATATATGAAACCAACACAGAAACCCAACTGCGTCTTGTTCATTACAGTACCTACCCAGGCCTGGAAAATTATTATTCTGCATCTAGCATTGTCTGGTTGCTAGAACTCCAGACTTCCAGTTGTTCTGTTACATTAATATGAAGTTCTGCACGTACGCTCCTGCTAGTTACATATTAAATAATTTGGAGAAACTCATCTTACCTTGTCTTGCTGTGTATTCATTGTCTTCAATTAATCTGGCAAGCCCAAAGTCTGCAATTTTGCAGATTAAGCCATTTCCGACCAAAATATTTGCAGACCTCAGATCTCTGTGTATATAATTCATTCGTTCAATATAAGCCATGCCAGCTGCAACCTAGGAAAACCATGAGTATAGTAGCAGGAATTAGAATCGACTTTCTTTTCTTCATGGACATTTCATGAGGCATGTTTATTTATTAATAAATAGGAGAAGATCTTTTATGATGAAAGCAAAAACACCAGAAAAGTTCCCTTTATTGATCTGATTGGTGAGCACAACTATTGCAGCTATTTTCTATAAAATGGACTCAATCGTTCCTTATATTTGAGCACACATTTTTCACTGGTTAACTCACTAATATTTTCTATGCAGACTATCATAAGCAACATGATGATCTTGTCTTTTTCAGAGCCCAGAGGCTGACAAAGGAACAGATTTAGGATCTCAGTTATATAGGCTCCAGGCCAACGGGAGGCCTCCTCTCTTGGTAAGTCCAGGCCAAACATATGCCCTATATCCCTGATTCTCATTGGAAGCAAAAACAACATTCCAAATGTTCTCAATTGCAGTTTCCTTCATAGCAGACAGAAAAAGGCTAGAGAAAATGTGTTATTGCTACAACAAGTAACAGGTGCTTTGTTATAGAATGATTCTCTATTTATACTGTACCTGGGCTGCCATATCCACTAAATTTGGCAACTTCAAAGCTCGTCCTTCTCCATCTTTCAGGAATTCCAGCAAGCTTCCTAAAATACAGCAATATTTAAGATAATATTGTCATTTATCTGTCCGCTCTGTGTTCACTTTTACCATTTCATCAATTAAAACAGAAGGATGGAAACAATTGCAAATCATTCTGCCAAATACAGGGTAAAAATAACAGCTGCAAGCATCAATATTTTTTTTAGCTGTGCTTAGGGAAGGCAAACATAAATGTTTAATGCGGTCACACTCCCATTCTTATTTTTGGACATGGTCCAGTATGGAAAAAATAAATTAGTAATTGATTTTAGAATTACTGCAACATGCAAGGCACGAAGTGTGATATACTTTAAAGAAGAACACTGGGAATTTAAAAACAAAACCTAACCCTTGCAGTGGGGCTACCCCTGCATTGCAAGGGTTAAGTACAAATTTTTTCCAGGGGGGTCAAATATGGCAGATATACTCACGAGATCCTCAGTCCCACTGGGCTGCTAGGCCAGTACCCGCAGCCTCTTCTTCCCTCGACTCCGGCGGTTTAAGAACCACTGGCGTTATCACTTCTAATGCAGGTCCATTGACTTGCATCAGAGCCGAGGATATGAAGGGACATTACATAGCTGGAGCAGAGGGAGAGAGAGGTGAATGCTGACTGCAGCGGGACTGAGGATCAGGTGGGTATATCTGCCTTTTTTGACCTCCCTTGACAAAACGTGCTGCAAGGCTAAGGTTGTTAGATTCTTTAAAAGGAACACTGCACACACAGTGAAATCTTCAATAAATACTTTTGTCATTAGAGATAGTGGCAGATGAGTGATCATGTTGGCTGCGATCCAGTAATTGCCCTATTGCCCATCCCAAAGAAGGTCTGCATGACATCACTATGCGTGTGGACACTAGACCCTCAGCAGCAGTTCCCAAACTATGGCCCAGGGACCTGTACATTTCTACAAGTCTCTACACCAGACCTAAAAAAAGAGCAATTATGGAGGGACCAAGCTGGAACCTTAAAAACCTTTTAAAATGTTTAAATAGCAAATGCAGTATATTAATGTGAAATAAAATGTTAAAGAGATCCATATTATTCTGCAAGCTGTAGGTGTTTCATTATATACGGTCTTTAGATGTCTTTGATTTACTGGTGCAGTGTATCGTAAGTGTGCACCTTACTTTAAAAGCTTCTTATGAATTGATGAGTGTGTTTGCCATTTGTTTCACTTGTTGGATTCGGTACCAGGACACACCGGGGGCCTCAGCTGCTATTGAGATGTGTTGGGCTTCAAGTGTGCCCCTGTGCCTTTAAGGAGGAATGGGCTGCCTCCTGGCAAACCTGCACCCAATTCATCCTTTGCTTATAAATATGCCCCAAGATGGAGGCTCTCATAGAATAGAGCTGGGACCACACTGGACGGAGGGGCCTTGAAGGGGAAATGCGGCTTCCACATATTTTGTAAACGTTGTGCAACTAAAACCTCTGTTTTTAACCTTAATAGTTAGACAGTGTAATTGTTTTATTTATTTTTGTAGGCTGGCTGGTAAGTGTGCTAGGAATTTTTTGCTCTTTTAGGATGGCAGCAAATAACACAATGCATTTTTTTCTGGCAGGGTTTATTTTTTGGGGGGTCTGGAAAGAATCTGCAACAATGAAAGCAGATACGTACCTCGTTTGTGTTAAAAAATAACCATTTAAAGCATGTAGTATCAATATACACAGAGAAGCAAAGTATAGCCTCTGGGCACCATGTCTAAGCTGTTCCACAAAGGTATATTTTTCACAGCTAGGATCAGCTACAAAATCCAGCTTCAAGGAGTATTCCAGGAGCCATCTTAACGCAGCATTTGCTGAGACCACACACACTTTCATTTCCAATACTCAGCATCATTTGAAATAGCCAGCCCCACAAAAGGAATTTATCAAAACTGGAGCAGATGTGCATGGCAACCAATCAGCTTCTCTAGAGTCTAGAGAACAATGCTGCAGAGGTAAGTGTAACCTACACATTACACTTATGTCCCTAAATATTGTAGTAAAGCACTTCCCGGATATTTTTTAACATATGTTGATAAAGTAACAACAGTACTAGGACCCTGTTATGTGAGTGTTTACTGTACTTGGTCAGCAATGCAGACAATGCTCCTGCCCTTTCAATGGATTTTTTTTAATTTCAGCAAGCTTTCTCCACACCAGTGGTTCCCTAAAGCAACATTGAATGGCGGTGTCACTATCCTGGCTATGCAGTGTGACAGGAGTGTGTAAATATAATAGTATGCACAATAGCCACAAAAAAAATCCCAGTTTCTCTATCCCTTACTAATACTATACTATAATATATATATATATTATAGTAAATTGCAGTAAAATATACTCAACCATAATCAACTATACATATCATATATGTGTAATTAAACACTATTTTCATTATAACATGTGAACTGAGCTTTACTACTGTACAGTATTATTTCTGACCTTTGCTCATGTACTCTGTGACAATGTAGATGGGCTCCTCAGAGACCACTGCGTAGAGCTGCACCAGTTTGTCATGTTTCAGTTTTTTCATTATCTGAGCTTCTTCCAGGAAAGACTCTGGAGACATGGTCCCTGGCTTCAATGTCTTTATCGCCACCTTGGTGTTTCCATTCCATGTACCTATAAGTATGAATACGGAATATACAAATGCATTAGCTACTGAAATATTTATAGAGACATGAGATGAAAAATAGTGAACCACCACCAGCAGTGTATGCAGAGGTATTGGACTGTATATACTGTAGATTCAGTGCAGCCATTGTACCATTACATAGTGTGTGTACTGTAAAAATTTTTTTACAGACATGGAACCAATACTGGTACTCGATACCACAAGTTAGTCACATTAGGCAATCTACTTGTCAGTCTACCATAACATGGCAACATATAAAACAAATGCCTTCATTTAACAGATAAATATTTTATATAGCATCCTTCTGGAGCTGGATCATTTAGGGGGTTCTGTATGTAAATCAGGAAAAAAACTCACCTAGCATGAAATACTGTGACTTTTGAACCTTGTCATATGTACATTGCACTGTATATCAGCATCTTCTACTTAAAAGGGTAAGCAGAGGCATATCATTTTTAAGGGCCTGTTCACATGATATCAGGTCCTGATCAGGTGCGGATCTGCAGACGCGGTGCTACTGATGCAGTGCGTTTTTGCCGCGTTTTTGATGCGTTAAAATTTAAATTTATTTTTTTGCTGGAGTGGTGCTGTCAGTATGTTAGCTGCAGTGCAGTGCGTTTTGCGTTTCCGGTCCGTTTCCTGACCGGACAAAATGTGACATGCAGTATTTTTCTGTCGTAACCTGTACGGACTGCGCACGTGAGAACTGTAGCCCATAAAACATATAGGGATACATTGGGATGCATTTTTAGTGCAGGAGTGTACGGATCAGGTCAGCACAGAAAACGGACGTCGTGTGAACAGGCCCTCAGGGTTGTGTATACTAGATTGCAATTCAGCAGTAGATAAAAGTTTTAAATGGATTTAAATTATATTCCAACTAGCTTGTACAGATTTTTGCATATCACAACTATGGTCATGCAAATGACAACTATGGTCATGCCTACCATCGTGGACCTCAAGATGTCTGCTATTGCCTTTATTAACATAAAAATATCCACTTCTGTGTACTTGGGGATCTCTGGTGCCATTTAATACTAAGGGCTCATCTTTTCCAACTTCAGAGATAAACCCAATCTAACCACTATCCCTGGAGCCAATGCATTTTTTCCAAGAGCATTGTTACTAACCACTGAGGTGCTCTCAGATGGTTGGGAGCTTGATGCAGAGAAGAGGGTTTACAGGTCAATAAAGTAATGGCAGTTGATCTTAGACAGGACTTTTAGTTTTAAAACTTTAAAAAGGTTACTAGATCCAAAAAAGTAAGAAGTGTGTGCACGCTTTGCTATGTATATATTACAATTCACAAAGTAATGGTACAATAGCATGGCTGTCATATATCTGTATATAAATAGATACTGTATATGTAATATTTAAAAGTAAGTCTTTACTTATTTAACTAACCCTCAAGCTTTATAGCAGGTTTCAGAACTTACATTTGCTGCACTATGTTGCCACATCAATTCACTGCTCTATGACCTGGAAAAACTTATGAAAATACCAGCTTTCTGGAAGTTGATATTTGCACAGGCTATGTTCTCTGGACTGGCAACAAGTGACTTGCGCACTAAGGAATGCATTGCGAGACAAAGGGAGTGTATGTGGAAGTAAAATGTTTTTCTTGGGGCTCTATTGGTAGAATGGGGCTGAAGAGTAATGTGATAAATATAAGAACAGTCACCATGGGATGCCTGCTATAGCTCCTGAGGGCTACTTAAGTAAATGAGTTCTTTGAACAGATTTACTCTAAAGCTGTATTTCTTTACTATCCCAACCAGTGATATCCCCCCCTACATGCAAGTCACATGCATATGTAAAGGTTGAACAGGAAGTAACATTAAAAAATATACCTTTAAAAAAATACTGTGGATGCTATATACACAACAGCACAATACTTTTTATGGTTAAACAGCTGATGGTATTAGTTTTAATGCAGATCTAAAAAAATGTATTTAATAAAAAAGGAACATTTTAAAAATGTGAGAACTTAAGACCAGGTTATTTCGCAAGATGAAGACATTATAACTACCATCAGACCAAGAATGGGCCTGGTGGGACTGTGTCTCAGTAATTAGAGATTTTAAAACTTTAAAAAAAAAAAAGTTATTTCAGCCACAGGTTAAGAGTGCAACACACTGATTCCAATGTAGGCTGAATAAAATCTTTTTTGCTAGAGAAGGACTGTTATGTACAATGTAATAAGTTTCTAAGTGGCATGTCGGTATTCTTGTGGAATGCAGACTCTTATATAAACCCTATTAATTCTGATGCTCTATATTGAAAGCATAGAGCAAAATTAGCTAGCAAGCTTTTGAACTTTTGAACTTTTAGTAGTATAAAACATCACTCGGGCCCAGTTTTCTATCTTCACCATAACAATCTAGCAGTGCAAGATTCTAGAAACAACGCAGTCAGTAGATGGCACCAACCTTGGGTTCCTTTTTACAAAAATTACTTTAAATAAGGTATTTTTTCAATAAAAGTTTGTATATACTTGATTTTTTTGAATAAAAAGATATCTAATGTTTCCTTAACAGAACAAATGATCCACCTTACCATACCACACTTCAGCGAAACAGCCCTGACCGAGCTTCTGCAGCAGACATATTTTGCTCCGTGACACTTCCCAAGCATCTTTAGACAATCCAATAGTTTGCGGTACATAAGTCCGTGCAATCATTGTTAAATTATAACATAAACCATCATCTTTCTCTACAGGAAAGGAAATTAACGGAAATACATGTAAATTAACCTATAGCATGCAATAAGAAAGATGGAAGGTGTTTTGTACCTTTTATAATTATAACTCTAGCAAAGATATAAAATTTAAGAAACCTGCATTGTGTCACCCGCATGTGTTCTGTAGAAATGCAAGAACATCATTGCACTTTCATTATTTCTCCCTGTGTCACATTCCATCTTTCCATTTGCTGCTCCACACGAGAGCAGCCAAATAGAACAATAAATGATATTCTCTGCGTACCCATCCATACTTCCCCAAACTGCCCATTTCCCAGTCTCTTGATCAACTGGAGAGACTCTCTTGGGATTTCCCAGACATCTTTGGTTTTGACAGACAGGTCAGTGAGCCTTGGCATTCCTTTATGGCATGGTACTACCAAGCGGCAACAGAGACCAGCAGCTCTCTCTGAAAGGCACATAAGAATAGGGCAGAAGAGAAGAGAAATGACACACGAGACCAGAGCAAGGCACAGCATCCTAAGTCAAAGCAGGAAACATTACATTTCTGAAGAAGACATTGACAGCAAAGATATAAATTGTCTAACTTTTGCAAATCACATAAAGTGACATATACTAGCAGGTATCTTTCTAAAGCAGTGAATGGATTCACTCATAGTGAATCACTCGTTGTCATTTAAAACGCATGCACTAGGAAGATCCACCTGCTGTGAATATCAGATTAACTGCTTTATAAATATACCCCCCATGTGTATATGTAATGAGATTTTAATTGATCAGAAACACTGGTTGCCATGTATGAAGAATCTGAAAGACATACCTGTGTGCATTTATTGAAGGAGTAGAGGCTGTTCATACAGTAAAGTGAATGCTCAATTTGCTAAGTTTATGTTAGTAAATAGGATCTTAATTTCCTCAATCCTGTGTAATGGAAAAACAGGATTTTTGCTAACATATGATTGGTAGTGATTCCGTCAGGTAACGAAGGGAAGGGGGAGGAGTCTATGTCCGTGACGTCACCGGACTCCTCCCTCCTTCCCTTCGTTACCCATCACGGACAACTACATCACCCGAGTCCTCCACCCTTCCCTTTGTTAGCCGACAGAGCCACTCGGGGAAGGGGGGAGGAGTCCGATGACGTCGATTTCCGTGACGTCACCGGATCTCCGACGGAAGACCCGGAAGCCGGCGGAGAGGGGAGTAACTCGTCACCGGATCTCCGACGGAAGACCCGGAAGCCGGCGGAGAGGTGAGTAACTTTGATCGATCAAAATAATTTTGATAGATCAAAGAAATTAACGATTAATCGACGGCACACCAGACAATATCTCACGGCACACTAGTGTGCCGCGGCACACTAGTGTGCCGCGGCACAGTGGTTGAAAAACGCTGGTTTAAAGAACTGAGCTTTACCTTATTTACTCAGTTCAATGAACATTCACTTTGCTAAGTGAATACTCGTTAATAGAGCAAACCCAGTGTAATTCTTTTTTCATTATCCATATTAATGCATGAGTGGCAATATTAACATACTAAGGTTCACACGTGGGATCAAGGAGCAGTAAAAAATGGCGGATGATCTGAATTTTTACCACTCCCTACCTACCCTCTGATAAGTTAGCATTGCAGCTAGACAGTGCTGTACACACTGCTGCAGCTATAATGCTTTGCTCATTAAAAACTATACAGCATGTCGTGTGCCACCTGCCAAACTCGACCACTTAGGTGAATTGGACCGTGATAAATCCATGCGGCAAACCCTTGGCACATGGTTGCGGCGCTGTGGTTCCATGTGAAATCCCTCTTGGGATCAAAGAAAAAAAACCACAGGCATTCAGGAGGAGGCCTCTTGAACGTCTGGAAGCGGCTGCTCTACCGTGGATCGCTTCTCAGAGGGGTGGTAAAGTCCGCTGCTCATCTGAATGTGCCCTTAGGGTAACGTAATAAAAACTGGAGTAAATCGTATTGTTCATGGTAGTCAATCACGTCTACTTTTATTTTACACACTATAAAAATAGTATGTATAATGTGCTATGGGTACTACAGACATTTTCTTCAGTTTTTCTAAATCAGCCACAGGGTGAGGAGTAATTATGTGGCATCATTCCATCTTTTAGCAGGGAGCTGAAATACTCAGCATGGAAAGCTGGCGTTCCTTGCTTTGAGGTCATACTCTCCTGTGGGCCCTGTTCCTCCAGACTGATTCTGAAAGCAAGGAAACATCTACGTTCTTGCATGTAAAGCTGCTTTAGGAGTAAACTGAGACAAAGCATATAAACACAGAGGATATTTTCCCATATGGAACATTCCTTACTGGGCGCTTTTGTGAGAGACAAATAAAATTCTAGTGTGCATCTGAAACCTTTATATCAGTCATGGAATGCTACATGCAGCATGGATTGCACGTTCTCTCTGTTAGTGTAAGCAATATCTGTTTATAAAAACTTTACATAATTAAGGATGTACTTTTCTTGTAATATTAGTACACATGTTTACCTTTCAGGCTTCACAGCTGTCATCTATATGTTTTATAGCGAACTACTAACCTGAAATAAGCATGCCACCAGTGAAGTCTAAACTCTCATCCTGAATATTTGTTCCAGGTGACTTAATAGGCAGTGAATTTAGAATCAGAATGACAGCCCCAGAGCCTGTAATTTATCAGTGGCCACCCACAAATATATGCCTTTGAAGGCTACTTGAATATGCTTGTGCTATTATATCATGAGCTGTGATCTCACGTGCAAGGTAAAAGTGACACAGGGAGTCAGTTGGAGAAATCGGAAACTATGCCCTTTGGTGGCTACTGTGTATCTGTGCTAATTCTACTTAAGAATGCTGTACAGACTAGAGGTGGCCATACACTGTGCAAATTTTAGCTCGTTCTTGATGAACCGGCTACAATTCACACAGTCGGTGCCACTGTTGGCACCCTTTCGGCCGGCTTCCTTTGATCAGCTGCTTAATAGAGCTGGTCGGAAAATCTTGTACGAACAGAGCGGGCAGCCAATGAGTCAATGAAGACAGCGGAAGATTCCTTAATCGAAGCTTGTAAGCATTGATGGAGGAATCTGGAATATTTTCTTTGTTCAGTCCACAGGTTAAAAATACTCAGTGTATGGCCAGCAACTACACTAAGGCCACATTCACATGAGGCGTTCTGGGATTCCTGTGGCATCCCTTGTTTGGGATAGATGATTGTCGCTGGACGCAGAATAGAATGTGTATACCTTAGTTGTAGCAAGCACATACATTTTAGTTGTTATTTTATTTTAAAATATACCCACCCTATGAATGTCTTCCTGTTTTTTTCATTAACTAAGTTCAGAAACCAGGCACATTAGGGGGAATTTATCAAAACTGGAGCAGACAAAAACAGAAGCAGTTGCCCACGGCAACCAATCAGCTGCTCTCTTTCATTTTCAAATCTCAACTGAACATAAAAGCTGATTGGTTGCCATGGGCAACTGCTCCAGTTTTTGTCTGCTCCCGTTTTGATAAATTCCCCCCACTGTTGCCCATTGTAACCAATTAGATTCTATCTGCAGTTTGTTCAGTTATGTTTTGAAAATGAAAGATAGAAGCTGATTGATTCCCATGGGCAACTGCTTCAGATTCTTCCTGCTCCAGTTTTGCTAAATTCCCCTCATTATAACTTGCATACATTTAATAATGAAAGACATGCTAAAAGCAATACATAATAGGTACCAGCAAAGCAATAGATGCTGAGCAGAAGAAAAGAGCATTTCATATAGACAAAGAAATAACAGTGGAGACAATATTGGACACAGGGCTACTACACACACAGCAGTAAAATTGAGCTATTGCCTATACCAAATTAAAAGTGTATCTAAATTCAAAAAACAATGTAATAAATTACAGCAGATGTGATGGCTGGATTCATTTTCTTCTTTCAGGCCTTTTTCTTTATAATTACCAGGTGATCCTGCCAATAACACACTTCCTGTGATCCTGCCAATAACACACCCGGTGAGACCATCAAGTGAGACCTCTGAAAAGTCGGGCACTCGATCACGGATCAAGAGTCCGACAGTCGCACAACAGAAGAGGGTAGCCGGCGGCATTCCTTCTACCAACGAATGAACATCCCCTCCTCTCTTTGTGGGTGTCCTTTGGCAGGTAAGCATGCATAACGTCATTACGCACACGCATGATGACGTCACACGCATGTGTAATGACACCCCAGCGAGGTGTCATCCGGCGGCCGCTCCGGGTGACACCACTCCTGGGGAAACCCTGACCCCCCCTTTGTTTTCCCATGTAGAGGCAGGTGTTCTGTAACTCATGGATATTTGTGTGATCATTGCTAACTGACAAATGTCAGCAGAGGTAGAGAGCACAGAAAGTTATGAGCCCATAAGATTTCTGGCAGGATCAACTGGTATTTTATCAGCTTTTTGAACGGATATAACAAAACAATTTCAATGGTATATTTAGTAGACTAATAGGGGGTGAAAATAATCAGCAGTGACAATGCTGATAGCCACACTCTATACACCATTTATTCGTACCACTGTAGAGCAAACAGGCATTGTCCACATGAGAGTGGCAATGCTGCCATGAAGTCAAGAGAAGTGCAGCATTGTTTCCACCCCATCACAGAAAGCTGCATTCGGTGAAACTCACTGGCAGGCTCAACAGATATTTGTGGGGCTTTATAGTGGGACCAAGAAAAAACTCTAAGTGCAGATGTGTGTATAATTAAGTGTTGCAGCATATATTTGTAAATGGGAAGACATAGGGGTATGTTCACTAAGCTGCCGAAGGATCTAGCCCTAGAATCGAATGGCTGCTGTACGGGCTATTCACTATAGCCCATACAGCTCCCGAAGTTGGCCGAGGGGCTCAGTCGAGCCGAAGGCATATGCTTCAGCTCGACTGAGCCGAGGTGAAAGCCGAAGCTGGCCGAACGGGCGGCCATTGGCTAACAGCGGCTCACGGGAGAGAAACACTTTCTCCAGGAAAGTTTTACTCTGCTCGATCGAGCAGAGTAAACCTTTCCCTGCTCTGTTGACTCTTTTTTTTCTTCTCACATCTTAGCCGCTGGCCGTCATCAGAATAAAAAAAAACATAACACAAAACAGCATAGGAATGCATAGCTAAATTCCTATTGGCTATTGCAATTTGCAATAGCCAATAGCAAACTAGCTATTGCACCCGCCCACTGCTGCTGTCAATCCGCAGAGGGGACCTGAAGTTCTCCATCAGGTCCCCTTTTAGTGATTGACAGCAGCAGAGGGCGGGTGCAGTAGCTGGTTTGCTATTGGCTATTGCAAAGTGAAATAGCCAATAGGAATCTAGCTATGCATTCCTATGGTGTTTTTTTTTCTTTTTTTTAATTCTGACGGCAGCAGAACCACCCGGCCAATAGAAAATAGTTTTCCATTTTGTTTTCTACTTTTTTAAACTATTTTTCTATTCTCTATGAGAATAGACCGAATAGCAGCGAGTAGCCTACCGGAGGTTTGGCTTAGCCGATGCAGATGTTGGATCGGCTGAGTCAAACTCCTTCTGCACTTCCGGTCTGCCAAACATGCTGAGCATGTTCAGCCGACCCGAAGCCACACCAAGCAAGCCGATGCGCGGCTGAAATCAGCGGTACAAGCCTGAAGTGAATAGGCGAACAGCGTTCAGCTCACTTCACTTCGGGTCGGTTATTCACTCGGCTGCCTACGGCAGCTTAGTGAATAGACCCCATAGTTCTACTTTAATTCTTTTTTTTATTCACCTAAATATATATGCCTGCAGATTTGTCCAATCTTCACATAACATTTCTTAAATCATGATTGCCTGGATTACGGAATTGTGTTATTTTCTACAGATCAGAGAGATCTGCATGCAGATATTTATATGAATCAGTTATTGGTGGGTCAGGGATTTTCCTGATTACTATTTATGGATATGAAATAAGAGGCCTTGGATGTCGAAACAAACCTTCAAGTCTAAACATTTACATTTGCATATACAGACCAAAGACCGAAATGGTCTTTTCTAAGGGTATATGGACAGATATGGCTATTTTCCAATTGAAATTTCCACCCGACATGTCCCATACTGGATACCGATCATGCAATGGAGTCTGATCTCCATAAACAAACCAGTTATCTGCAAATAAGGTCTGAAACTACATCATCAGCCACATTGATGTTCCACGTATGGCCATTTTTACAGTGATAATAAAATCCCCCTTGCCCCCTTTTGCTTTGACTTAAATCAAAGACTGGGGAATTAAAATGTCTGTTCAAATAATTCAAGTGTCTACCTGTATAACCACATAGAGTAGCATGCTAAATACATTATCTATTCTGTAGCCTGGAGAAGTAATATGAAGTAGACCACAATATATGATATATATTCCACACAACTCATTTAATGTATGGAAAACAGGATTACAGGCTGCAGAATCCTGATATGACCCAATGTTTCAGACCCAGGCTGGTGAAATTCTAAAACGTAAGTGATGTTTCTATTCGGCTGGAAGGGATTATGTGACTAGCAGAGGGTACGAGTCACCAGCAGGCCGAAACTTTTCATGCTTTACAATGAAAGCTGAGAACAACAAATCCAGGCTAATCGCTGTAAAGACTTGACTATAATATGACTGCAAAATGCTGCCCCAGCTTCTTCTCATAGCTAGCTCTAAAGATTAAATGAAAACTGACAAACTTTTGATCTAATATTCTGAAACCAGACATACCTGAATAATGGTGAACCAGCTGCTGTAGGGTTTCAAACTGAGCCCTAGTCGTGATGTAATAACCGCCATTGTCAAGTTTCCGGATCTTATAGTGCTTGACATGATCTCCCTTCATGTCATCCCAGTCACGAATAGACAATGAATAGGCACCTGAAGCAAGTTACAGACACAGAAAAATATGGGCATGAAATTACATTATATTGTGATCCATAGCAAAGTCATAACATAGAAAGATAAGTACACTATATGCTAAAATACTGATCCAAAAAAGGAAACCTACAATATCAAACTTTACTGGTAAAATCAGAACCTGAAATAATTTACATCACAACTGGATAACATATTGCCACAATGTTCATTTCAAATGAAATCTGACAGGTTGCTGAGGTTCAGCTTAGTAATCAGAAACCAGCCTCACTAGGCCTCTCCACAATTTGCATTGACTAGGGACAAATTCATCAAAACTAGTGATGAGTCTAGGCTTGGTGCAAATCCAGTTCGCCTGAGTTTGCCTAAGCCCACTTTAAATTCTAACTGCCATCCCGTTCACTAGACCCAGTCAGTTGTGAGGAGGTGCATTCCCCGCCCCAAAGCTGTACCTCACAAAGGGACTGGAACTCCCTTGCCACCACTGATTTCGTCAGGAGGACTGGGTGACGGTCAGAGTTTTAGGTGGGCTTGGGCGAAGTCAGACGAACTGGTTGCACCAAGCCCAGCCCAATCACCAATCAAAATACACGTTTGACTGATTAAGGGCACATTCACACCGCAACACACAAGAAAAGCAAAGTAAACGAATGCTGTGTTTTACTGTGCATTAAACTGTTCTTTAAATGCTTTTTTTTTCTGTGCAGACCATACCGAAGGTCAAAAGTCTAAAATTTTTTGTATTATGATGGGTTTTTAGGCTTCCCACCAAAGCAACTTTTACATTTTCTTTTTCTCGCTTCTTTAGTCCTCTATATATGCTCTAATGTAAAGTTTTTGGTGGTTCATACACCTAATTACAACTCATTTTTAATGTTAGTCAGTTTAGCTTACACAGGAGACCAGGGTCAGAATGACTATAATCTTACCCATTTGATAAATATGTATTAAATCTTTAGAGATTTGTCACACACATATGATCATGGTCCACTGGTTGAATGTTGTGCTTATGCTCACTCTGTCAGCCATTACAAAATAATAATTTCCCTCAATGAAAACAGCTATATTAATTTATATTTCCTATATCCAATGTACTTTGTTTTTCTTTTTACACTCTAGCAATAGCACAAGATAATTATTGTTCTGAAAAGCCATTTTTTGGGGTATCATCTGCATGAAGAGCCTTTCGTCACCAAGCAATTTCTGTAGCATAACATGGGTTTTGCTGACCGGAAGTAAAGGTGGTCGTGTACATCACATATGCACAAGTACTGCATCCTATCAGAGCATTACTCTGATAGGATGCAGTAAAGCTTGAGGCTCTGTAATGGTTGAGAATGAGAAAAACCTACTTGCGACATGCACACCAACACACACACATCAAATCTCTTGTGTCGATATGGCTGAACCTTTGTGCACCAAATGTCTTTGCAAACCCATTTATGACTTTGTAATAGTAGCAGACACATCATCACTGAGGTGAACATGCGTATGCAGAGAGCATAGTTGTGGGAGGGACTCAGTAGCCCCACCCATTACAGGCTGACTGCAGAAAAGTACAAGAGTGGGTGAACACAAGACCAGTCACCCTGCACAATGACAGAGAGCAGGAGTGACTGGTCTTTATTACAAGGAGCTCCTGCAAAAAGGCAAGCTTTCATGCTGGATTACTGCATAGATCTGGAACAAAATACACAAAGATTTAAGTAGGAATATATATAGATATAGATATATATCTATATCTATATATATATACACTGAGTGGCCAGATTATTATGACCACCCCATCAGTACTTCGTTGGGCCACGAGATAACTCCACGAGATGACTTATTTGGGCCGCCTTGTGACTCCACGAGATGTTGAAAGGTGATGCGAGGAATCTGACACTGCACTGTTGCCCTTCTATTATCTTGTACCAGTCTTGCCACTCTCCGTTCTGCCCTAACATTGACTAGCCGCTGACGGCCACGATTCGCACGTTCAGACCCAGATTTTCGGCTGACAGTCCAGTCTTTAAACACTTTAACAACAGCTGCTCTTGAACATTTAACGAATTCTGCTGTTTTGCTGATACTCGCTCCATGGCTCCAACAATAATCCCACATTCAAAGGCTGTTAAATCGCGTTGTTTCCCCTATATCTTCAGAAAAAAATCACTTCTACTGTCGTGGTAAACAACCTGCTTCCCTATTTATAATGGTCTGGCCTTCTAGCAACTTCAGTGCAAAATTATAGCTAATTTGACTACACGTCAGGTGGTCATAATAATCTGGCCACTCAGTGTATATATCTTATATTTAGACAATAGTTGCTTATCCCGGAATTCAGCTTTAAGCAACCACTTTTTTTAATCCGAGGAGAAGGAAATAAGCTTTTTGCTGTTTGTGTTGCTGGTTCTAGAGCTGCAGTTCTGTAAGTTGACCCTTTCAGTTTACTTACTGGGCATCATACATGTTGACTGATATTCCTGTGTATGGCCACCTTAAGGTCATGAAATAAGAATGCATTCTTGGTATGTAAGGCCTCACTGGTATGAGACTTTCATTCAGAAGTCCCAGAATCACATAACAGTATTGACAGCTGAACAGATTTGCAGCAGCAGTGTTTCCCAAAATACAATATTCTCTGCTGCCACTAGCAAGCCACATGTTCAGCATATCCAGGTAAGAGCACAGGTACATCGATTATTTAGTAATCTTCTATAATAATCATATTTCTTTTTTCACCTGTGATTCTCAAACTTGAGTTCTCATACCACACTACTAGTGGTACTAGAGGACCGGTTTCAGAAACATTACATTGAATTAACAACCTCAGGTGAAGAAATATTTATATCACCTTACCTTTGGTGGTTTCACTTTCACGTATTAAATAAGTACCCCTTGGATTTCCAAAGGATAGCAACTGTCTCTCTGCATCTTTTCTGCCCAGTTTACCAAAGTACCATCTAAAGAGATAGAAATGGTTAAAGGTCATCTCCAAAAATTAACGGTGTAGCAAAAAAATGAAGAAACTTAGTTTAATAAAAGTTATGACACTAAAATGTAATGGTTTATGTCTCAGTGATATTAGTGATAGGCAAACTCATGATATAAAGTATAGTAGAGTCATTTTGTTTTAAGAGCAAATCTCCACTGGAACAAGTGTCCCCATTGGAAAAATTCCCTCACTTCTTGTTCTGGTGACAACTGTAAAATGGTTGATTTACTATCACTTTTCGTCTCAATGATAGTTGCCGCCAGGAAAAATAGAGAAGGTGAATCTATCTAGCAGAAACACACGTGTTTCTGCTAGAAATATTCTAGCAGGAACACATTCTTAAATATAAACTAGATAGGGGTTCTTTTTTTCTTAAGTGCTTTTGAGTGTAAGAAAATTGGTTAAAAATGGGCAATAGATTTTAAATGGTTCTATAACTGTTATATAACAAGAGTTCTGTTATTTGGTATAATATTACATTTTCAGACTGGGTTAAGCAAGATTATCAAAGGGGATGTTTTTTAAGCTCATTTGTTTATTAAGACACTTACTCTTCAGCTTGAATGGAATCCACTGGTGCCACATAGTTACTTGGGATATAACCTGTTCCACCAGTTGTCAAAGATCGAGCTTCCCACCAATCACCTTCACTGTAGAATGAAATAAAAAGAGAATGAAGCAAATCAATTAGTCAAAAGAGAAAACCTGAAGAATTGTAATAAAAAGCAATAATGTAAATGGCTGATTTTTTTGTTTCATTCATTTGAACAATGGACCACATAAACCATAAATCCCTGTGATGACACTATCAGTACTCATAAATTAATTCCCTGGATCACACATAAAAAGAAACATGAGCTACCCATGGGCTACCCGTATCAATTACTTTATTGATTACTTAAATCCAATGTCCAGCTTCTGGAGAAAGTCTACAAGGTCCACAAACAGTTATTAAGAAATTAAATCACATGTTCCCAAATATGATGCAGAAATATAAAACAATACAGGAATAAAATGACTCCTTGTACAAGATGAGGTGGGAACTTGTGTATGTGTTTTTTAAGATTCAAGGTTAAACCCAAATTAAACAATATATGTACTGAGAGAAATATGAGGGATGTCATAGCTGACCTCCTTCGAAGAATGTCTTTATTACTCTGTGAATCACATACCCGGAATAATCATGAAGTCTAGAAAGTCAAGTGAAGTCACATCACTTCACCTGCATGCTTGTTCCAGGTCAGTTTCCTACACAATATTGATGCCACTGGATCAGTATGACAGCCAAGTAACTACCAGCATTTTTAGAAGAGGTCAGCAATGACAGCATCCATATTCTTGTTAACATTCATCATCATCATCAAAATCTTAGAAAGCTTCAGTGTGAAATGCTGCTATATTTAACATGGATTTGGATTGAATTTGTAACAAACATATACCCATAATTCCCCCTATAGGCGAAGGGGGCTTGGCAAAGTCTGCAATTGGTATAGATGCACATTGACCATCATTCCTTAACCTGCATTTGCTGGCATTCAACAGTAACCTTTATAAGTATGGCGAAAATCGCCAATGACTGCAAACCAGACTGACCAACATTTTAAAATATGTCTCTTACTGGCAAATGCTCTCAGGGAGCGTGGTTCCCATAGTTATGGCCAACATTTATTGTCTGGGGACAATCGGAAATTGAGGGATTTCTATCAGAAACTGTACTATTTGTCCTCTACTCAGGGGGCGGGTTCGGAGCCTAATCTCTTGGAGATCCATCAGTATCTTTCTACATCAGGCCTTCCCCCTCTTTCGAGGCAGGACCGTTTGGCTTTGGAGCACCCCATTGCGGTTAAGGAATTTGATCTAGCCCTCAAATCACTGAAAGCTGGTAGGGCCCCTGGCCCTGATGGTTATACTTTGCCTTATTACAAACATTTTCGAGATGTAGTGGTTGACAAATTTACCAGGGCCTTTAATGGTCTTTTAGACAGCTGTGTACTTCCAAAGGACTCGCTCCGGGGTCATATCACTGTTAACACTGTTATCCATAAGGATGGGAAGAACCCTTTGAATTGTGTGAGTGAGTTTGATAGGGTAATTGGGCTTTCTTTCGAGAAACTCTCAGACATGTATGCTTGGGTCTCAATATGTAGAGGTGGATTAGTGTCTTTTATTGCAACCCAACTGCAGTTGTCCAAGGCAGTGACGCTTGCTCTAATCCCTTCTCTTTTTCTAATGGAACTAGACTGGGGTGCCCCCTTTCCCCATTGATCTTTATACTAACCTTAGAGCCTCTGATCCGCAAGATTAAATCGTCTGCATATTGTGGGCCTCGAGTCTCCATAAGGTCATCATAAGATTCCTGCATAAGCGGATGGCCTTCTGTTTTATGTAACGAGTCCTGAAACCTCTCTCTTAAATATGTTAAAAGAACTGACTACTTATGGGGAACGTTTTAACTTTAAGCTCAATCTTTCTAAATTGGAAGCATTAAATGTTTCTGTCCTTATGGCCCGTTTGTCACATTCTGCATCCAATTTCCGCTTCAAATGGGCCCCTACTTGGATAAAATATTTAGGGGTACTGATTACCGCGGATCTTAACAAAATTTTTGCCTTGAATTTCTATCCCTTGAAAACTGCGATACGGAACGACCTTGATCACTGGAATCATTCCATATTTACCTGGTTTGGTAGGAACAGTATTCTGAAAATGTTGATTTGACCTAGGCTGCTGTACCTGTTCCATACTTTGCCGATTGATGTGCCCTCCACCTATCTTGCACAGATGCGCACACTATTTTTATCTTTTCTTTGGGCTAACAAAAGGGCTCGAATTAGATGTAGAGTGTTGACTAGGTATAAGAGCTCTGGAGGAATCAGCTTCCCGGATCTGACTACTAAAAAGCGGCACATCTGAAGAGAGTGGAGGATTTGTGTTGTAATGAGGCAGCTAAACTGTGGATAGCTCTGGAACAGGTTACTGTGGATGTTCTTTTGTGGGGTGCCCCGTGGCTTTTTTGAGGCCACTGCAAAGTTGGTCCGATCCTATTACTAGAGCCACCATGAGAGTGGCGCATACCAGTATTTCCTCTCCTGTCTTTTGTCTCTCCTGATGCCCCATGTTCTGGTTTTAAAGGTGTTGTTTTAGCTTCAGGATACAGACTTCCCTCGACTGGGTGGTGGACTTTCCCTTCCCCCTTTTTGTCTCTCTACTTTTCTTTTCTGCTTCTTTGTCTAGTATTTTTTTTCTATAGTTTTCTCTTCTGGGCTTATTATGGCCATGTGCCTTGTTTCTTAGAATTAGAATTAAATAAATAATATATGTCCTTTAGCTGCAGAATAGTGCAAATTAGAGGAAAATAAAAGAATGATTTTGACAATCTTTAAAGAAGGGCCCATAGCTGGCAGTTTTCATTTACTGCAGAGGATTACCTTTAGACAAGGTACATATTAATGAGCCTAAGCCAAGTATTGTATTCCATATAGGAAGAGTGTTCCAGCTGTAAAGGCTTTTCATGTGTGTCCATGAAGGTGTCATGAAAAGGCTTTTGAAATCCTGCAACCACTGTTCTGGAGCAGCAATCAGCAGTCTCTTGAGGGAAGTAATATTACAGAGCATTGTGTTCCCTTATGACAAGACGTCACCCTAAATCATGAAATAATGAAAGCAGCTGCATGGATCGCGGATCGGGAAATGAGAGTATTATTTTTCGAAATGGGCTCTCAAATCTGTCTGTGCTGAAACAACAACTGAATGTTGAGATTTTCTATATACTTTCTATACTTGGTGCTGAGTGAGTGGAAGACGTGTAATTATAGATGGCCTCTTCATAGAAATGAATGTGATTGATCCACACATGTGCAGAAGAAATGTGTGACCGCCTTGCAGAGCTTGCAGTGGTGATTGCGCGGCTCTCTGTAAGCGGGACAGCATGGATAATGCAGGCGTAATGACAGGTAAGTACAGATTTTAGGGAGGTGTCGGGGGGAGGAGCGGGAAAACACAAAGGATAACAATACAAAATAGTTATCCTTAAGGACTTGACTTAAGGCAAAACGCTAAATACAAAGCTAGAATATATATTTAAACTGACACCCCTTTCCCCTACCGCACAGCATAACCTATATAATCCAAAAGCCCTTGAAATTTTGTCCAGTCCTTTTACTCGAATGGAGTCCCAGACTTATTAAAAGGTTTATTTTGTGCTTAGCACATGAGCATTACAATATGTACAATTTTTTCCAAATGAAAATCACATTCAGGTTAGAATTTCGATTGCTCAGATAAGAATTGAGTAACATTTTCCAGCCTGCTCCTTTGATTTTCCTCTTCAACAGGGTTGAAAATAAATATCAAATAGATCCCATTAGGTAACTTTTCTGAACTTTTTAGCAAGGTTGCTCACCAGTGCCCTAAGGTGTATTTGACTCTTGGTACCCAAAATGCAAGTCATATGAGTTTAGTAGTCATCCTCCAGTTATGCTGCCTCCCTCCTGCATTATCCAAGGGCAGAAAGGCTGAATGTGCCCACCACAATATGTGACAGCACAAAAAAGAGGATGGGGCTGTGGCAGATTCACTGACCATGTTTATTAGACGGAATATGCATACAGTATGAAGCCAGGTTATGAAATCTCCAGGGGAGCAGAGGTTATGGCTTTCCAGTGGGGCGTAACAACCACCATAGCGACCCAGGCGGCTGCCATGGGCACAGTGGGGCCTGGCCAGATGACAGTAATCTGTGCAGCAGTGCGTTCCTCTCTACAGAGTCAATGAGAGCCAGCAGTGGCAGTGGAGGAGGCGGGGTCCGTGGTCGGTAGCAGGGGAGGAGGCGGGGCCCGGTGACGAAGACGGAGGCGGGCCCGGCGACGGAGGAGGAGGCGGGGCCCATCTGCCACCGTGGACGAAGAGGAGGCGGACAGGTAAGGAGTGCGACCAGTCCACCTGAGGGTGAACCTGCAGAGCCCACCATAGAGAGTCTATGCAGGGTCACCCTCAGGTTGGATCTCCTGTGGGCTCTGCAAAGGTTATAACTAGAAATCACGGGGCCCCATACAAAATTCTGCTATGTGGCCCTGTGATTTCTAGTTACGCCCCTGTGGTTTCCCCAAGTTTTCTTATCAGTTTTCTTTCTTCATATACTCTCCTGACTGGGGACCAGGCCGGGGAGCAATGAAAGTCAATAAGAGTGATTAGCGATCACTAAGGGAGATATTAAAGTCAAAAGGTTTTTAAGATATTTCAAATGACGATTAAATCACTAAGGGGTCTATTCACGAAGCAGCCGAAGGATCTAGCTTCGGCCGATCCTTCGGCTAGCTTTGGCCCTAGGACCCCTTTGGTTCAGTAGAACCCATACAGCTCCCGAACTTAGCCGAGCGGCTCAGTCGAACCGAACGCATATGCCTCGGCTCGGCTGAGCCGCGCTGAAAGCCGAACTGGCCGAGCGACCGGCCGACAGCCTGCTTCTGACAGCTGGGCGGAGCCAGCCTGGTGCTCTGGGAGTCTCCCGCTCCCGGCCGCCAAGGAGAGAAACACTGCTTTCTCTTTTTTTTTCTTTATTCTGACACGGAGCTGTGTCAGAATAGAAAAAAATAAAATAATTTTTGCCCATAGGAATGCATTGATAGATTTCTATTGGCTATTTCAATTT